ATGACTAGATCTTTAATAGTGAGATATTCTATTTTCAAGCCTTCATCAAGATGATGGCGTAGGAATATCATTGCTTTGGCATGGTCTTGGTTTGATACTTGATTTTTGTCCTTGATGGTGTCTGCCAGACCCATCGCATCAAGATGAATTTCAGCATCAAGCACCCAAGACATGTAACTTTTGCCCGATATATCCAGGGCTACAAATTCAAGTTTAGAAAGATTTGACATTATTTAGAAAAAGAAAGTTTGTACCTCTGATATTTTCAAAGTATTTGCTCGAGATGGCAGAGTCTCGTGATGATAACATATTATGAAATAAAGACTGTAAAGTAAAGACAAGTATAGAGAGAAACTGATATATTATTCAAATTTCAAACTTATGTACATAATGAACTGAACTCTCCTCTATTTATAGAAGAAAAGAAGTTGTTGTGTAAGTTGCTTCTGCAAGCTGCTACTGTACCAGATATAGATAATTTTCTACCGGGGGTGATGTTTATCCATAACAGAGTACCGAAAGGATAAGCTCATTGTACCGGATATAGATAATCTTCTACCGGGGGTGATGTTTATCCATAACAGAGTACCGAAAGGATAAGCTCATTGTACCGGATATAGATAATCTTCTACCGGGGGTGATGTTGATCCATAATAAAGTACCGAAAGGATAAACTCATTGTACCAGATATATATAATCTTCTACCGGGGGTGATGTTTATCCATAACGGAGTACCGAAAGGATAAACTCATTGTACCAGATATATATAATCTTCTACCGGGGGTGATGTTTATCCATAACGGAGTACCGAAAGGATAAACTACTTTAGGAGGCTTATTTCCAATAGAGTACTAAATAGATAAACATATTTATGGCGGAGTCTCATATAGATAAGTTTCTTCAGAAAGCTTATTTATAACGGAATACTAAATGAACATTCATAATATAATATATTTATAACAAAAAGAGATTAGCAGTGAAAACGAAAAAAAAAGAAGAAAAATATATAAAAATAAAAGGTGCCTAGATCCTTTCCTTTTTTACCATGAAATTTTTGTGTTACTCCTCCGACTCTCTTCTTTTTGCACTTCATTTCTCTACTTCTTCCTAATTTTAAAATTAACATAAATAATCGTCTTAAATTAAAAATAACCGATGTATATAATTAATATATAATCTATATATATTTGTTAGAAAAAATAAATAATAAATATAGTGTAAATATCTCCTTTTTCTTTTCTTGGATATAAAAGGAATTTGAAGTGCCTCCTAAACTGGAAGCATGGCGGTGGATAACCCCTTTCCGTGTGGTACCCCACTCCACCCCATATTTTCCGATCAATCAAACACAACACACAAATCAACCAACACATCACATGGGTGCCCATCATTCATTAGCAAATAGTATTCCTTATTTCCCTATTGACTATTGAAATATATATTAAGTATTATGTTAACTAGTAAAATTAAGATTTTGGCCAACTAATGCTTTATTTATTTAAGTTCTCTATCTTCCTTGTTATACAATATTCCATGAACTCATTAGATGTTTAGGCCCACCTTATTATTGCAAATGATTCGCCACTTGCCACTAATGAAATTTTGAGTTGAAAGCAATCAAAAGCATAAGGAAATTAAAACTCAATTCAGGCCTTAATTTTCCGTCTCCAAAGGGATCATTGATTAGTACCCTATGGAAACTTCTCGATTTCCAGAATGGCGTTAACTTTAAATTCTATCTAAAGCTAAAAAAAAGGTCAACTGTTATTTTCGCTATGTGATATATAAGGGGAGGAAAGGAAACAGTACTAAAATAATTTATCTCGCAGTTCCTGTTGATTAAATTATTTGTCTATTTCTAAGCATTAGTTTTCCTATTTTTACTTTTCTCATCATTTATTCTATCAAATTCGAACTCACTATGGCAAGGTAAATTTATCTCGTGGCCTGTTGTTAGAACACAGCCGACTGAGTACTACGAGTTTATCTAAATCCATAATTTTGGACGCGGAATATAGATTTATATATAAAAACTTACTAAAATTTAAATAAATATTAGATTTGAACCCAAAATTTTAACAGTATAATGAGTCTAATACCAAAAATATTAAAAAATGAACTCATTAAATTTAAATTCTAAGTTCGCCTATGCTCATTCTACTGTTCAAATTGTTATTTTCTCGTAGAGTTCGAGCAAGCCTGTTAGATTTCCTTCTACCTAAACCCATCCATGAATAAATAAGGGATGTNTGTCCGGATATTTATTCAGAGGTTTGTAGTCAAACTTGGCTTGAAATGGCGAAAACTTGACTGTCAGGCTCCAAACTCGGGAAGTGCGACCGGCGCTCAACAGAGTGAACCCGATCGAGCAAGCCTGTTAGATTTCCTTCTACCTAAACCCATCCATGAATAAATAGGGGATGCACTCCATTAATCAAGCAATAAAGAGATTTCATTAACAAATCCCATTTCATTTCCATTAGCATCTTCATTCATAATTTCCAGATTAATACAAGTTTATAGATATAATGAAAAACATGTTTGCAAAATACCAACATTTCTAGTTCAATTCCCCATATCAAACACTACCCACAACCTGTCTACGTAGCCTCTAAGTGCTACAGAAGAGTAGTGTGGAAGTGCCGGCAACAAGGCCTGTTGAATAGAGAGTGACAACTCAAATGACATCAGGCCCGGAATAGTGTAGGGCTCACCAAAACCTGTTGAATAGAGAGTGACTGCTAACGAGGACCAAAGCTGCCCGCTGATCAAGGAAATAACAATTGAGGAACTGTTTACGGTATAATAATTTTTTCATCCCAAGTTAGGCTCGCTATTAAAATAATACTTGTTGTATTAAATGGAAACGGTTTCAAATAAATTTACTTTATAAAGAAGTTGACAATTGTTCAAATAATAATGGAACCTAAACTTACTTTAGTAGTAATACTTAAATAATGAAAGAATAGTGATTAGGGTAGAGAATTTCATACTTTTAAATAACATAAGTAGAAAGTTATAGGATGCTTAATTTGTAAGAGAGATTGTTATTTTACTTGCATCATAATCCTCAGCCAGTTCATTCCTACTGTGGAGGACATTTATTGTTTTGACTTTGCTAATATCAAATTGATGGTACCATGAAATTCACCACCTCTGCGCAGAGAGGGTCGCTTGAATTGCAAGAACCATTTTAAATTCGAAATTTCTTCTTGCAAAATTTTGATATCATACCAATCTTCTTGCGAAACAGAAATTAAGTTGATTGAGACTTTCTTTTTATAAAAAATATTGCCGAAATTTAGGTTAAGAATTAGTATATTTGTTTCAATTTTTGAGCTATATCAAAACTAATATTGTCCTTTTCATTGGTTCAAATATAAAAAATATTGTCGATCACTGTATCTATAAATGATACAGGTAAAATGTTTACGTTTTGAAAAAGTAGTCCTCAAACGCCCTAAAACAAAAAAGACAAACTGAAACAAGTAGGCAGATTTTTAAATTAAGTCTAAATTTAGAGAAGAAGAAACTAAGAAAAAGAAAAAAGAGATTGAGCTCTTTGGATTCTGAATTCTGACCATGAAATATGCATGTGAAAGCTGACATCCATTCTCAGCCATTAACTGATTACATCATTTAAATTGTAAATATTCAGCCGCACTAAAAGGAAAAAAAAAATTCTAGCACAAAAAAAGGAGAAAAAAAAAAGGAGAAAAGAAACTAGCAAGCGGTAATATCGCGGCTACTACCCCTGGTAATTAAAGGAAATAACATGCTGTATTGCTTACTGCTTTTAAATTTTTTCAGGTGGCTCACGTTCCTGTATTCAAATCTCTCAACACTCAACAATCCCAATAAAACTACAGATCCAACTCAACCTCTACTATCTTTATACTACACATACCTTTTATTTTGGTCAAATTTATACTTCACGTAAAAAGAAAGAGTAAAGATAAAGTCTAAAAATTTAAATTTTGATATTGCGATTCAAACTACAATGTTACGACTCTGCTCTTGTTCTATTCTTGATTAGAGATTTCTCCATGAAAAATATGAATCGGAGTTTGAAGAAGGGGAGGGAGAAGGAGCCCTTGACCCGCAGGAGAATTTATTCAATCACATAGTTTGGGCTCCTAGAATATGATGCCCTTGGGGCTTTCTATTTGATTGTATCGAAAGGCCCTTGTTCAACTTGAATTTTATTTTTCCTTATTAAATATGTTTTACTAAGTTTAAATTTTGTGTATTAAGGATGCAAATAATAATTATATAATTAAGTTACTTATAAAATAGTTACAAATAATTTTTTTACGGTAAGCATCAATCAATAAAGTTATTACTAATTGCTATCACCAATGGCATAGCCACCTTTGTCCCATAACTAGATATTTTTTTTAATTATATATATATCAATTTTCTTTATGCTTATTTCTTTATATTTTATTTTTTTTGTGAAAATTTTGGTACACAACTTTTGGTCACATAGTGAAGTGTTGAAATATGTTACTCCCTCTGTCCCAATTTATGCGTTATGCTTTCTTATTTAGATACAATAATTTTAAACTTTCAACTTTACCCTTAATGAGATAATTTATAGTCACACAAGTATTTATAATTTAATTTAGACCATAAATTTTAAATATCTTCAAACGTTTTAAAATATCTTTAAACGTTTTAAAACTTCAAACAATGCCGTGAACGGAGACTGAGGGAGTAGTAGTTTAAACATTTTTACATTAAATAAATCCTTAAAAACAAGTTTATATTGACCGGACAAACGGCGAGATTTATGGGAGGTTTAACTTTCAACTACTACTTACCTTGTCTTTCCACGCTTCTTTACAACTAGCAAAATGAAAAAAAGTGAACCAAAAGTAAAAGAAAAAAGAGTGAAGAAAAACATTGGGAGGTTAATGTCTAATAATAATAACGCGGAATCGCGTGAAGTGCGCCGAATATGAGAGTTGGCATTATATAGGCCCTATCCAGCGAAGCTCTTTTCCGCAACTAAGTCAGTATTTATGTGCTGCTTTACACAAATCCTCCACTAGATCTATTAGACAGTGATACATTTGTTCATTCTTTCTATTTTTAGAAGAAGTATACTTCAGCTCATACCCACTCAAACCTGGTATATTTCCATTTTCTTCTCTCTGTTTCTGTTAGATACTCTGTAGGATTGGACTTATATATGTGCATTTGGTATATTTGCAGGTATTAAGGGGTTTTGGGTGTTGATTCTTTAAGCATTGCTGCAATGGGGAAAGTTGCTCTTTTTTATTTGATTTGTGGTATCTTGGTTTTTGGGAGCGTCTCTGTGGTGAAAGCAGAGGATGCTTACAGATATTTTACATGGACTGCTACTTATGGAACTGCTTCTCCCCTTGGTGTTCCTCAGCAGGTTGTTTTCTTGTTTCCTATTTTCTACTGCTAGCTGTATGGTTAATTTAGAAGTTGAATTTTCTGATGAAGTTTTCATGTTTGAACTTGTAGATAATCCTGATCAATGGTCAATTTCCTGGTCCAAAACTTGATCTTGTCACTAATGAGAATGTAATCCTTAACCTTATTAATAAGTTGGACGAGCCTCTTCTATTGACATGGTGAGTCTCTTTTCCAAAAACTTTCCTTTTATTTATGCTTATATAATGTTGCTCTTCGTTTGAATTTGGTCTAGACTTTTTTCTCATATAACTATCTTATTGGCAGTAAGTTTGTTAACTACACTGCTTCTGCCAAATGTATTTCCGTCATTGAGCTTTTTTTATGCGAGTCATGTTATTCGAAGAAGTATTGGGGAGAGTTGATTAGACAATACATGACTATGCTGAGGACATGATCCTAGATACGAATGTGTGTAGGTTGAGAATTAAGGTAGAGGGTTAGGTAGCCGAGTGTTGTCCTTGCGCGTTCTAGTAGCTTTAGTGCATTACTCAGTGTTAGTCTTGCGTTTTCTTATTATTTAGATTTCTGTTGTTACTTGTTGTTTCTTTCACTTCGGTTTCTGATTGCACCACTGTGTTAGTCTTGTATTTACTCTTCAGTATTTTGATTTGTTTGCTTGTTGTTGCTTCTTCCTTTTAGCTTTTCTGAGCCGAGGGTCTACGAAAATAGCCTCTGCCTTCCTATAGTTAGGTGTAAGGTTTGCGCACACACTCAGACTCCACTTGTGGGATTACACGAGATTTTTTTTTT